AATTCTGGCTGCTGTTTCCTTCCGTCTACAGCAGCAATTGCATATCCAATTCCATGTATTGCTGTTGTTGTTGCTGTTGCTGTTGCTGCTGCTGCTGCTGCGGCGACTCATCGAATTCGACTTCTGGCTCTGCATCGCTAATGTCCTCCAGATCTCATGTGGTGCTGTTTTTGCGCAGCTGCTCCTCCTCCTTCTCCAGTATGCGTATCTTCATCTTGAGCTCCTCGACGCGCAGGCGGTGCACCTCGCGCATGTACTTGAGCTCGTCCTGCGCCTTGTTCACCTCGATCTTCTTCGCCTCGGTGGCCAGCTGCTGCTCCTTGCAGCGCAGCTCTGCTTCCTTCACTTTGAAGTAATTGATGCGCTCCTCGTAGCTGTCGCCTGGCTGTTGCTGCTGCTGTGTGACTGCTGCCGCGGCTGCCACGTTGCTGGCGCTGACGTTTGCCACGGATGCTGCAGCCGCCGACACCGGCACTGGGACCGGCACCGGCACCGAGGTGGCCGCCGTCACGTTGGGCAGAGCGCTGAATGTGAAGGTGGGCGTGCCGCCGGCTAGCTGCATCTTAACAGCAGCTGCTGCTGCGGCCACCTGCTGCTGCTGCTGTTGTTGTTGCTGTTGCTGCTGTTGTTGCTGCTGTTGCTGCTGCTGCTGCTGCTGATGGTGTGCCGCTGCCGCCGCCACCGCCAACTGTTGCTGCTGCGCCGCCAGCTGCTGCTGTGCCAGTTGCTGGGCCTGCGCCTGGGCCTGGGCCTGTGCCTGAGCCTGGGCCTGGGCCTGTGCTTGGGCTTGGGCTTGTGCGTGCGCCTGCTGCTGCTGCTGCGCCTGGTACTGGGCGAGCGTTATCTGCTGCGGCTTTATCTCGCTGATGATCTGCTGATTGTAGCCGCCGGCTGTGATGGTGGCCATCGTGTGCTGCTGCGGCTGCGTGGGTATCGTGTGGATTTGCGTGGCTATCAAGGGAGAGCGAGAGACGAGGAGAGTTAAATACAAAGAGTGGCCATTGCCATTGCACCCAGCTCAACTCACCTGTCGCATCGGTGGGATGCTTGATCTGCAATATGATCTCTTCGCGGGGCCGCGCCGGCTTGAAGTGCAGCAGATCGGTCAGCGTTAGCTTCTCGGCACTTATGGAGTCGACGTTGATGCGATGCGTGTTCAACATGCTCGCATTTGCAGCAGCGACTGCAGCGCTCACCTGCAGCTTCTGCATTTCGGCGACAGCCGATTGCTGCTGCTCCACCTGGGCCTGCGCCGCCTGTTGTTGCTGTTGTTGTTGCTGCTGCTGCTGCTGCTGCTGTGCCTCGAGCGGATCGTCCTCCATTTCGCTAACGTCGTTGCCATCCATTTCGATCTCATCGAAGGTGTCGCCCTGCGGATTGTGCTCAGAGGCGTCCGGGCTAATCTGATATTCAGGCTCCACCTTGACGTTGTCGTGATGCTGCTGCTGCTGCTGTTGTTGCTGCTGCTGTTGTTGTTGCTGCTGCTGTTGCTGTTGTGCGTTGGCCGAGATGGCGCTCACTTTGCCCATGCCCGAGCTGCCGCCGGACCCGCTGCCGTCCCTGTACGGATACTGTTTGCGCAGGCTGCAAGGGAATCCCAAAGATTAGACTTAGATCAATTGGAGTCGCGCTGCACTTACCGTGAGTTCAACCAGAACTTCTGAATCTGCTTGATGTTGCGCATGGCGCTCACGTGGGGATGCGAGTTGAAGTCGCGCACGATCTTGTCCCAGGTTTCGCGCACGGAGTACTTGTTGCGCTGCTTCTTCCTGTGCTTGATGTCGATCACCTCCTCGTGCAGGTGGAACAGCGTGTACAGCACCTCCTTCTCCTCGGCAGTGAAGCGGGGCGTGAGCGGCAGCTGGCCTTTCGAGCTGCCGGCTGTTGAGCCATTGTTGTTCGAGTTGCTGTTGTTGGCATTTGAGTTGTTGTTGCTGTTGTTGGTGGGGCTGCCGTCGCCGCTGACGTTGACTGTCGCCTGGACGACGGTCACATTGTTGCTGGCATTGGCGGCACCGGCGCCAGCATCTCCGGTTGCCGACATCCTAGCTCAATTGCAGATATCTTCTTTTTTATGGTTTGTTTATGCGATTTTTTATTTTTCCTCCACTTGTTTTTCTCCTTTTGTTTTGAGTTTTTCAGAATTGAGTTTGTTTATGAACCGCACGAACCACTTGAGTGACAGTTCGCGAGCGAGTTCCGAATTGGTCAGCAAGCCATGAAGCGAGTGAGCGAGCAAATGAACAAACAAGAACAAAAACGAGTCCGAGACCGAGTCCGAGTCGGAGTCAGAGTCCGATACCGAGTACAAGTTCGAGTGCGAGTGCGAAATAGTGATGCCGAGTAGCGAGTAAAATACGAAAATCAATTGCACTCGTTTTGCTTTTACACACACATAGCCACACTCATACACACACAGAAACACACATGTACAGTGAGAGCGAGAGCGAGAGCTAGCTATCGAGTGAGCGAGCGAGCGAGCGCGCGCGCGCCTGTGTGAGCGTCAGTGTGAGTCTTTTTTGTCTGTTGTCGTTGTCCGATGTCCGCGGTCCGCGGGCCGTCCAGCTTGCCACTAAGGAAGAGAATTGCCACTTTATATTGCACCACAAATGTCTATGGAAAAATTGTTATGCTTAGCAGCTGCACACGTTTGCCGCACAAAATTGCTTCTGATTTAATTAAGTTTGGCATTTAATGTAAATGCGCGGGCTTGTTGGCTGGCTGAGGTTCATTTTATGTATATGTATATATATATGTGTGGCAGGCAGAGCCACCAGCAACCAAAAAAAAATTCCGCTCAAAACGCGTACGCAGCTATGACAATACTACTCAACGCAGTACAACGATACTACTCAATACAACAGCGCAATACTACTCATGCTGTTAACAGTGCCATTAACAGTGGTTGGGTGCTCCGCTCTGCGCGGTGGTGACTCGCTTTTGCGCTAACATTGGGCGCACTGTTTGCGTCAACGCCATTAACCAACACTTGAACGACAAAGAATTTAGCGAAAATTGAGTTAAATTGGATTTTTAAAATGAGAAAATTACTTTTGCAGCGAATATGGTGCCGCCATCGCGACCCAATGTCACCCGACTGGCCGACGATGCCGTCATGCTGCGCTGGAACGTGCCCAAGAACGATGGTCTGCCCATACAGTTTTTCAAAGTCCAATATCGAATGCTCGGCGACAACGCCCGCAAGATTCCTCGCGAAAATTGGCACACAACCAACGAGAACATACCCTATGGCAGGCAGCAGCAGCGTGAGCGGGAGAGGGATCGAGATCGGGATCGGGATCATCAGCGGGACCATCATGAGCCGGCCCTTAAGAATTTCACATCGTCAGTGACGGGCCTGCGTCCGGATCGGAATTATCGCTTCCGCATCATCGCCGTCTACTCAAACAACGACAACAAGGAGGGCAACACCTCAGCCAAGTTCTTTCTGCGGCGCGGCGCGGCCAAGTCGAATCTGCCCGTGCCCGAGCTGCGCGAGATTGAATCCTACTCGGAATCGGCTGTCGTGCTCCACTGGACGCTCGCATCGACGTCAGCCACCCAGCTGCACAATATCGATGGCTACTACGCCTACTACCGTCCGGCATCCTCTGTCTCCGACTACCTGAAGGCAACTGTCGACGGCGGCCATGCGAGGCGCTTCAAGATCGACCAACTGGAGCCGGGCACCGCCTATGAGTTCAAACTGCAGTCGTTCAATGCACACGCCGCCTCCGAGTTCAGCGAGATCAAGCAAGGCCGCACGACAAGTAAGTGGAGTGCAGCAGCACCCGGGCTATCTGTGTACCTAATGCATCTATTCCATTCTATTCCTCTGCAGAGTCTGCGAGCCAAACGCCGCCCGCTGTTGCGCCTGCTCCGAATGGAAAACCGTCGGAGCAGCATGAGAACTCCATCTACCCGGTCATAGCTGGCGCCGCTGGTGGCGGCCTTCTCCTGCTCATAGCCATTGCCGTGGCCTGTCTCTGCCTGCGCCGTCGCAACAATTCCCAGCCCGAGGGTAAGTCCTGTTCGCCTCGCTGTCATCTAAGAGCGCTCCCAATTCTCATCTCTTCCTTTCTCTCTCTCTCTCTGTTTTTAGATGAGAACAAGCCGCAATTGGATCACATTCAGGCGGACTTTGTTACATCTGCCGTACTGGGCGTGGCACCGCATCACAATCACAATCATGGCCATGGCCACAAGCCAGGCGACCTGCGGCGCCTGAATGGCGTCATTCCGCGCATGAACATCACGCCGAATCCCCTCGCCCAGGATCCCACGGCCGACAAGGTAAGCACTCGTATCTGCTCCCCCTTTCCACTCACTCTCGCTCTCACAGTATCCGGATAACTGATCCGCTTTCCAATTATGGCTTTAAATTAAAAATGTTTAGAGATATAGAAAAAAAATACAAAAAAAAACCCTTTCGCTGGTTGCTTGGTCAAAATTTCAAAACGTTTCTCGCCTCAAATTCGCTTTTGCCTTTGCCTCTGCCTTTGCCTTGCCTCAAAATCTTTTTCTCTCTTACTCCCTGTCTGTCTCTCTCTCTCCCTCTGAGTTATTCTTTTGCTTGTAATCGTTTCTGTTGTAGTTGGCTAAGTCTATAATCCTCCTCCATAGCTCTTCAATTCCCATTTCCTCATGTTTCCTTGCAGTAAACTAGAAAGATTATATCAGAATCCTGCGAAATTTGATAGGTCTAGAAAATAGATCAGAGCAAAACAACTTCACTTTGTCAGCTGAGCATTTTCGATTTCCGCCCGGAAGGAAATATATAGTCATGTCTCATATTTGTTATCTATATCTTTATCTGTACTTTAGCAACAAATTCAATTTAAAATTCGATTTAATTGTGATCATCTTTAAGCCGCTCAGCTCTTCTATAGACTGGTCATTTCGGATACTCCAGGCGGGTATTATTTATCGTAATATCGTTTTAAGACGGCATTTACATGGCATTAACATAGCATTAGCATGGCATAACTGAGTCATTAGCATGTTATTAATATGCCTGACATTTATCTGAAGCGAATTTTAGCTCAACCACAAAATCAATTATCATTGGCAGTATTGAATATCATTAGGGGTATTCACAGTGAAAAAGACATCGATATTCTTAGTGAGCATAGACGAATCTTTCTCTATTGATCAGTCACTTCCTCAGCAATCTTTATCCATTTTCCTTCTATTATTCTTCTTCGCCTTCTACATTGACTTTCTTGACTACGATGGTGTTTTCTGTTTCCTTCTTCAGTTCCATTTTCATGCATATGACTCTCTGTCTCTCTCTTTCTCTCCTGCTCTTTCTTATGGCTCTTTACCATCTTATTCTAGAGGTTATCTCCTGTACTTCTGTCTTTCTCTCTTCTTTCTATATCTATGAAATTCTTTCTGTTTCTCTTCTGTTTCCAATCGATTTTTAGAGATTTTTTCTCTGTTCTCTAAGTTTTTGCTGCCTTATCTTGACGTGTTCCAGTGGTTATTTCTTTAAATTGTTCCTATCTCTCACTCTATCTCTCTACCTTCCTCTCTCTCTCTCTCGCCCTCTCTCTCTCTCTCTCTCTCTGTCTCTCTATTCCTTTCATTCTATGTTCAGTTTTCTTTTTCTTATTCACTCTACGAAATTCTTCCATCGTTTACCATTCGTCTGCATACGATTCCAACACTATTTTCTGTGGTTTTTTCATTTTTTTTTCTCTTTCTCACTTTCTGTCTCTTCTCTCTTCGCCTCTATTGCTTCTGTCGTATCTTTTGCTAGTTTATGGCTTATTCTTCTCTCTCGCTGCCCACCTTTACTTTCGTCTCGTTTCAATCTTCTCGGATTGCTTGGTCTCCCCTCGCGCTCCCTCTGTCTTTCTCTTGCTTGTGGCTCTCCCCTCGACTCGTTCGCCATTTTGCCAAACTGAGCGTCCCCTGTTCCAGAATCGCAATGTTATGGAGTTACGCTTCCTGCCGCCCGCCAATGGCATCCCCGCCGGCGCTGCACGGGAGCAGCCAGCGCGGCACGTCGAGCCGGTTGCTGGCGCGGATACATATGCGGATGCGGATGCGGATGTTGATGTTGATGCCGAAACGGAAGCGAATGCGGACGCGGATGCAGATGCAGATGCGGATAATGCAGTCAGTGACAAGGCTCAAACGTGCGCCTCATCCTCCTGCGAGACTCTGGAGGCATGTGACGGTCTCAGCCAGTCCCAATCCCAATCCCAGTCGCAGTCGCAGTCGCAATCGATGCCAGTGGCGACGGAGGCGCCCAGCAAGCCGTTGCCGCCGCTGCCCAAAAAATCAGTCGCCGCCAAAGCGCAACAACAACAACAACAAAACGTAAATACAATTCAGAGAAAGAAAGAAAAGCGAACAAATTTGGGAGTTGAGAAACGTTTTTGAAATCTTGTTGCCAAGCCACCAGCTACCATTTGTTGCATGCCACACATGCCACAGCAGCCCCATCTAGCCTATTCAGTCGCACTAATTTATCTCTCTCTCCCTCTTTCTCATTCAGGGCAATGCAATGGTTGTGGCTGCCGCCGCCGCTCTGCACCAGCCTGGCCTGCATCATGCGCAGCCCTATCATGCGCCCGGCACGCCCACCTTCGCACACAAGCGCCACGACTTCCAGCAGCTGCAGGCGCCGCCGCCTGTGCCGCCGCACGCCACCTACTACCAACAGCAGCAGCAGCACCAGCAACAGCAACAGCAGCAGCAGCTGCTGGCAGGCGGCGCCTCGCCCATGTTGGATCAGCAGCGACGCACGCTGGAGCGCAGCGTACGCAGCCTGCAGCAGCAACAACAGCAGCAGCAGCAGCAACATCCGAGCTATGGCCTAGATGATGGACAGGCCACGCCCACGCGCATACCCTCGCTGCGTCGGCAGCGACGCGCCTCTGGCAGCCAGCCGCACAGCAGCCACACAAATCTCAATAATCATCACAGCAGCAGCAACAACAACAACAACAACAACAATAACAACATCAGCAGCCACAACAACAATAACAACAATAGTAACAACAACAACAACAATGTGCCGCACCACCTGCTGCACCACCACGCCACGCACCACCATCCCCACAATGTTGGCATACCCCACGTGCCGGGCAGTCCGCGCGTCCAGCGTTCGCCGATGCCGGCGCGGGCTTTGATCAAGCGAACGCGCCTGGGCAGCCACACGGACAACATCTCGTCGGGCAGTCTCAACAGTATTGAGGTCTAGACCTAAGCCACGCCTCACGCCCCACGGCCCACGGCCCCACACCAAACACCCAATCAGCCCTCGCTCTAAGTACATCTATCGTAATTCGAATAAAAAACTTCCTTTATTTTTATTATTATTATTTTTTATTTTTTTTGCTTATTTATTTAGAGTTTAATCTTAAGACTTTAGTTGTATTTAGTTCTTCGTTCATGCAGATACATGTATATCTAGATTTCTGTATATCTGGTGTTATTTATTTATTTAGTTGATTAACGCAACGACAATTCGCACACATTTATGCCTAACTAGATTAGTGAGTAGTGCCCTAAGACCACGCCCCCATTCGACTAGCGGAAGTCATAGAACCTAGTTAAGATCTTAGTTATATAAGTCGTTCAACTATTAACTTTAGCTCGCTGCTTAATTTTAAATCATTACATTTACTTCATCTACAAGAATTTGACTTTTTTCATCGATATCCATATACATACTGATATATCCTTACAAGTATACAGTTAGTTTAAGTGCTACCAATTTCCGCACACACAGAAATCTCCTAAGCTATTCGATAAACACAATAAAAACAAAATATAAAAAGTAAACTGAATTTATATAGACTGTTTTATTTCAAAATTTACATCCATAAAGGTTGGAGTCGTTCCACGTATAATAAAATTTCTATTGTGTATTTCTCGATCTGTTCACAAGATTTCGAAAATTGAAGCCAAACAAAGAATTTATTATTATAATATAATAATTTTTGGTGAGTTCAAGTCCGAGTTTTAAGAACTATTATTTTCTATAATATCAATAAATACTTTCTGCTCAGTTCAGATGGCGTGACAATCTCTTATCTAACCTAATTTCGGAGTCTTACTAATTCGAAGTCCCTAATATCTCTTTTTCCTTGGAACAATCGTAGCATGAGTTGAAAAATATTCGAGATTATATTTATTCAGAGAGAAAGTATAGTCGACTCTCGTTATTTCGAGACTCGAGGAACTCTTAAAACATTACGAATTATCGAATGTTTGAATTATTAAATGGCTCGACTGCATTATATTATTATAGATGATTTTCCTTGCAACGATTAGCTCAATTCGAAATTCCAATCTTAACAATCGGAGTGCATCTATTTATTAGCTTACCTTTTTGAATCAATATTCAGCTTGTTTCGATACGAATTTCTTTCAATAACAAAGACCCGAATAAAATGGAACATTTATTTAATTTTCATATCAAATAACATATAAGCTAAGATTTGAAGATCAAATGGGCATAAGGCTACGCTATAATGATGCAAAGTCTGATCTCGGAGTCGATCGAAATAAATTGTTCCCTTTAAATGTGCTTCGATCATTGAGTATTAGACTTCATCTATCCAAAGCTCAGCCAGGGTTTCGTAGTCGTCTCCGAAGGATGGATATATTACTCGATATATTCAATATTATATAGTGTTTTATTAGTCGAAAATAAAAGTACAAATTGTAAGTTTGGATCGATTTGCAGTCCAGCGGGATGGGGAGAGTAGAGTAGAGTAGAGTAGAGACTTTATGCGAGGGCTGCTCGATGCGTGGCTCACTATGCTGGCGCTGGTGTCTCGGGCGCCTGTTCCTGCAAGCAGAGAACCAGAACCAGAACCAGTTCAAGCAACAGTTCAAATGAGTCAATCGGTCAGGCCAACCAAACTGCAGACGAGGTAGCTAAAGGACACACGGGGAACTCAAGTGCATGGCATGTGCAGAGCGAGAGAGAGAGAGAGAGAGAGCGAGAGGAAAGTGAGCCCAACAAAAAATAAAAATAAATAATAATAATAATAGTAAGAGGTATGCATGTTTTTCTTTTTTTGTAATTTAGTTTAATTTACATTAAAAAATAGAATTTGTAATTAATGAAATATAATAAAAAAATAATTCATCAGAGCGTTCAGATGTTGGGCTGTTGGTTCGAATCCTTCATGATGTGAATTATTTTCGATAGCTGGTGTTTTCTTGAAATGTTTGTCGCATTCACTGATCCTGACTTCATATATATAGCATATATGCACAGATATACTATATACTGTCATATACACACACAGACACGCACATATATCTAGATATATATGTGTGCTTGTGCGTATATACTGTGATATATATGCAGGTCGATTTTGCTTGATATCAGATAAATGTTGATTTGCTGTTCTCTTTTTCTTTTTGCTTTTTTTTTTCTTGTATTCTGTTTGTTTTGTTTGTGGTGAAATAATTGTATTGTATTGAATTATTATTGTTTAGGGCGGGAGTCACGGGTGGTACAGTGGACACTACGTGGACGTGGACACTTAAGCTTCGGCCTCAACCTCCTCCTTTACCTTGGCATCGCCGGGCTTGCCCTTGGACCAGTCGGGTTTCTTCTGCGCATATCCAAGCCGAACAGAGAATATAGATTTGTAGAGAAGAAATATATTAGTGTTGTCAGATATATGTGATAATATATATAAAAGTAGAATATAATACATTCCGGAACAGTTCACTACGAGCTGTGCTGTGGGCACTACGAGACTACAAACTACAGAGACATACATACATACATACAGATAGATAGAAAGAGATAGAGAGAGAGAGAGACTAGACTATATAGAGGTTCTTGTGTTGTGTGTACCATATAAATAGACAAACAGTTGCACAGAGATAAAGATAGAGACAGCGATAGAGATAGATAGAGAGTGAGAGAGACAGAGATAGATAGAGCGTGTGTAATACATAAAGTGATATTTGGAGGACACTTGGTGCTCGAACATTAAACACACATCATTTCATCATTTCACACATTTCTTACACTTTTTGGCTTGCTTTAGAGAAGAGGCATCTTTTATCTTTTTCTATTGGAGCGTTCACAGCAATTGTGTTGATCGTAGCGAATATAGTATAGCATAGTATAGTATAGTATAGTATATTGTATATCGTTTATATCAAGTTGTAATGCTTAGCCTAGGTCTGTTTAGTAATCTCGTCGAACTTACCTCCTTCTCTTCCTCCTCCAATGTGAACTCCTTCTTCTTGACCACCTTCAATTGGTTGCGGAAGTTGAACTCAGCGGCCTTCTTCTGCAGCTTGGCAAATTTGTTTTCGTATTTGGACACCTTCTTCAAGGCTGGCTTAACGCTATATATGGAATCGGTATAGATTAGATGTAATTAGCACAGTTCAGAACAAATTTAATTTAGTCTTTAGACGCTTGCAGTTGATATATTATACTTTTTCGGTAGATCTTGAAAGATTCTCGTCAACTATCTATACGAGCTCGGCTGTTACTGAAGCTTTCTTAATGAATTTTGATGAAGAGATTGTTTTTAGCTTTAGAAAGCTAATTTTGCACAAATCAGTTTTATAAATGCAATAAATCTCGAGACTTAAATGTTGATAAAAAGTATAGCAAAACATATTTATATCTAACTATATATCGACTATGAACGCAGAGATCAGTTGGCTATATATCCTGTATATACATATATCTAGAGCTGCAAGCGTATCTTAAGTCGAACTCCAACTACTTACAATTTGCCGCGAAGATCGTTAACTTGAGCATTGAGATCGTTGATCTATAGTTAGCGAATGAGATAGATCAAAGAGAAACAAAGAGAGAGGTACAGTTAGTATACGGATATGTGATATATATGCGAGACAGATTTGACAATAGACTCTAGATGTACTATAGAAAAAATAAACTACTTCAAGTCTCAAATATCAAAATCAAAATGCGGGCTAATCGGTGGAAGAAGACGTGCACACGAGGCGTAGGGCATGCAGCGAACACTGCTACAAGTTACAGTTACAGTTGGAGTTACAAGTTACAGTTACACTTACAGGCTACAGTTACACTTAGAGCTACAAATCTACGCATATCATTAGCATTAGCATTGTCATCACTTATCTCTACGTTAGCATWGTGCAGCCGATGCATGCGTGCGTGCGAGCGAGCTAGCAAGACAAGCCAAATGTGCAGTTAGGTTATTTGGTCTAACGGTTGCTTTTGTTTATAATATTTTTTGTTTTTTTCTTTGGTTTCTTAGAGGGCAACTAAGGTCGGTTTTCATTTGATCATTTGATTTCTTTTGTTTTGTAGTCGATTGAAGAACAGCATAACATCCAAATGTCGATTTTCTCTATATTTTTTTTTTTTTTGATTTTTTTTTCTTTTTATTATATATATTTTTGTTGTTGTTTTTGATTTAGTTCTGTCCTACATAAAGACTTGAGCGTACTGGAACTGGGGCCTGAGGTACTGCACAGCAAGGCACATACATACATAACATACGATACATTGATTGATTGATTGATTGATTGTACGTCTCTACAACTACATAGGGTTCACACAGAGCGAGAGAGTGAGAAAGATATACATATATGCATATGTATATATATATATATATTTAGAGAGGGAGCGAGTATAATTATCTGCTTTGTTTTGTGTTTTCCTTTTCGTTTTCGTTTTCATTTTTCTTTTCTCTATTTTGTTTGTTCGGCTTCGTGTTGTTGTTGCTTGTGATAACGGTAATAAATCATAAATAGTAACGGTAATTAAGTAACGGTAACATTTAGTGGGCAGCGGTAACTAGCATTAGCTATTAAAAAGAAGGTAAAAGCGAACCGACTTCGAAATCGAATTCGAATTCAAATTCGAGCTCCAATTTGGCCTGCCTCAACTAATTAATAATTATTTCAAATTTTTTTTGGTTTTCTTTTTTTTTCTTTTTTCTTTTGTTTTCTTTTTTTTTATTAAATTCCAGGAAATCGACGCTTGGCTTTGATGCTCTTCAATTGCTTGGATTTTATGCATTTTGCTTTTCTTCTTAAAAATCATTGAGGTTAGGGCGCGCGTCAGRTGGATAGAGTGAAACAGTGAGTGAGTGTGTGAGAGAGAGAGAAAGAGACAAATAGAGAGCAATACGGTTACAATGAAGTCAGTTGTTTACAGCCCGCTTTCGAACAGTATTTACAATGAAGTGCGAGCGCATTGCGGGATTTGCAGGTATTTATATATGTATGTATATATGAATGCATATATTCTCTAGAGAGGGAAGGTGAGCAGAGCGGTAACTTGTGGTACGTGTGTGAGTGTGCGTGTGTGCTGCTCTTGTTATTTGTTTGTGTCTGTGTGTGTGTGTGCGATTGTCTTTGGCTGCACATGCAGAATTTTCGTATGGTTAAACAAACTATTGCCTACATTTGTGCGCGTGCTAACGTGCTTTGTGCTAAGTGTGCGTTGTCGTATACGTGTGTGTGTGTGTGGGCGTATGTGTGTGTGACAGATTAACGGACACAACGGACAGTGGTAAAAGAAAGAGAAAAAACACGCGAAACAACGAAACAAACAAATTATCACAGAATAACATTAAGAAAGAATGAAAAGGTTTTTGTTTTTTTTTTTTTTTTAGAAAACACAAAACAATGTCACAGAAATTGTTCGAAACGTGTGTGTGGTTGTGTGTGCGTGTGTCAGTTGCGGTGCTAAACAACGACAAGAAAAACAGTGTTGTGTAGTGCAATGTGAGTGCGATTGCCAAATGAAAGGAACTGGTGCATTGAATAGCAGTAACTGCAGTGACTGACAGAAACAGCCGCAAAACGAGTTCCTACAAAATAAGTCTAGACTCAATTTTATCCATGAGCTCTTAGCATGGATCATTAGCCAACACTAGAATTCAGAGAACATCAGTTTTAAATGTTTGATTGTGAAATTTGAAAACAATTTAACGAAACACAAGAATCAGAATCAAGTCAAATGCAACCTTGAATCTGCAATCTATATAGTAAACTAGACCAGACTAGGGATGAGAACTGGTCTAATACTGATACTCGTAGTCTAGCAGATTCCAGTCTAGAGATTCTTGATACTTCACTCAATGTTTCGAGAGTTTGATTTCAATTGAAGTTGGCGGCTGTGAAATTGTATAATTCATATTATAAATACTATATAAATACTATACAGAGCTTTTATTCTCGATTGATTTGTTGCACTGCTGTTGTTGTTGTTGTTTGACTACTTCCATTGGATTGAATTGTGTTTCCGTTTGTTTCTTATTTACTTTTTGAAAATGAGATTAACAACGGAATTTGAAGAGCGGGATGAAAACTTTGTGGAATCATTTTCAAAATCATGTTTGTATGTATGTATGCTATATATTATATGTATGGGAGACGTATGTAATTTGATTGTTCTTGTTGTTGTGGTTTTTATTGTTGTTGTTGTTGAATGTGAGCAAGTCAGAGAGAGAAATAAACACAGTTACAAATAGAGTCAAATACTTTGGTTTGTTTTCCCAAAGAACACACACTAGTATCAAAAAGTTTTCATAGTTGATGCAGAAAAAAAATACAGAAAAAAAACGGAAACGTAAAAAACATATGATACTAAACAAATTGTATGTCTGGTATTTTTTTGGTATTTTGTATTCTTGAAATTTTGATTTGTTTTGTATTTGTATTTTTTTTTTATTGAATTGAATATTTGTTGCAGTACCTCCCAGTCTTTTTTCCTGACTTCGTATTCCAGATCCCATTTCTGGCCTTCACAAATATACATACGCTCGTAATACTCTTCGCAAATCTCTTGCAATTCGCCTGTAAAAACATATTTTTGTTGTGGTTTTTCGTTTTTTTTGAATGGATTTTTTTTTTTTTTTTTTTTTTTTT